AAAGTCAAGAAGCAGAAGATGAACCTTCTGAAGAACAGGAGACAACTCGAGAAGAGTGGATGATATTATCAGACCTCAACACTCCTTTTGACAACTCTGAACAAACACCAGAGTCCACATATGACTGGCAACTCGACAGAGCCAATTATTCAGAACAACAAATTCAAGAAATGCCAACATGGATAAAAACAAACAAAGAGGAATACACTGTTGATGAACAATATGATGTTGTTGACATCAACAGTTTTAGCGAAATGCAAAAACTTGCTTATGACATTGTTAAGTCTCATTTTGATGATACACCATCTGTGAAAGAACCATTATGTCTCATTATAAATGGTGTTGCAGGAACTGGTAAAAGTTACCTTATTAATGCTATTAGAAATCTTTTGCAAAGTAAATGTGCTGTTACTGCTACCACAGGTAAAGCAGCTTATAACATTAGAGGTGTAACTGTGCATTCTCTATTAAAGTTACCTATAGGATCAAGAGGTAATAAAGACCTCACAGGACAAAGCTTGTGTAGGTTACAAGAGAGTGTTAATAACATTGGATACATCATTATTGATGAATACTCCATGCTTGGCCAAGTTACTTTTGGTTGGATAGACAAGCGTTGCAAACAAGCAACTGGTTATAATGACAAAGTATTTGGAGGAAGATCATTGATTTTAACCGGTGATCCAGGTCAATTGCCACCAGTAGCAGATAAACCTCTTTACCATGCTAAACCATCAAACGCTGTTGGTGAACAAGGTCATCAAGCATATCATATGTTTGACAAAGTTGTCAAACTCACTGTAAATCAACGTGTGCAAGGTATGACATCTGAGCAAGTACAGTTGAGAGATTTGTTATTGCGACTTCGCAAAGGTGACTCAACTATTGATGACTGGAAATTACTGCTGACACGCCAACCATCAAATGTCACTAATTTATGTGACTTTGAAGATTCTACTAGACTCTTTTATAGTATAGACTAAATTAAATATAGACTCTTTGTTGGTAATTACAACCATGAGCAGCTAACAAAACTTGAGCATCCAATTGCTCATATTAATGCGCGCCATTCATCTGCATTGGCCAAAAAGATATCCTCAGATGATATGTCTGGGTTAGAACCCGTTGTGTTTTTAGCAAAAGGTGCTAGGGTCATGTTAACCATGAATTTGTGGTCAAGTGTTGGCCTCTGTAATGGGGCTACTGGCACAGTTGTTGATATTATCTATCAGAACAACCATCAACCTCCTGACTTACCTATTGCGGTAATAGTAGAATTTGAAAACTATAGAGGACCTGTTTTTAATGAAAACCAACCATTGTGTATCCCAATAATTCCAATCACAGTTGCATCACAGACAGAAATAGGTTTCCATGAGAGGCAACAGTTACCTCTTAGGCTTGCTTGGGCTCTAACAATACACAAGAGCCAAGGACTCACACTTCCAAAAGCATGGATAGATATTGGCAATCTGAAAGAACTGCTGGAGTTTCTTATGTTGCTATTAGCAGAGTAAAATCACTTGCGTCTTGTGTCATTGAACCAATGACGTATGAACGATTAACAAGCTTGAAATCATCAGCCAACTTACAATATAGGCTTGAAGAAGAAAACAGGCTAGATCAGTTAGCACAGGCTACTAGCAGTGCATTTAGAACAACAAACTATTGAGGTTGAATAAGAGAGGGATTTCATATATGGATCCCAGTTATAGTTTGGTATGTACTTTGACTATATACCCTTTTCAGTAATTTAATTTATTATATAATAACTAATTTAGTCCTTGTTATCACTGTATGTATGAAAATATTATGATTTGCAAGACAAAAGAATGGTAAGTTTTTTGTTTGTTTAGCCCCTCCCCCTGCCCTACCTTTATTTTAATTAATTTATGTGCTACTATGTTTCCACATAAATAGCTCATGCTACCAATTTTTTTCTATAGTTCTGCAATTCTGATGGATGTGAATGGTGCCATGTTAACTGCTGGATGAATCCAAATTGTTGTTACAGCCCAAATATAATATAGATATATTATACATCACATGAAAATGGATGGTAGCTTCTGGATTAACAAAAATGTTCATGTATTTCTATTAAAACAAGAATGCTGATTTACAAGATTGTATGGATATATATTACATATATTACATCACATGAAAATGGATGGTAACTTCTGGATTAACAGAATTGTACATGTATTTGACTTCTATTAAAACAAGAATGCTGATTTACAAGATTGTATGGATATACTACATCTATAATGCAATTGGATGGAATCTGCCGTGTATTAAATTACCATACTTGTTTCCAATCTCTACCATATGGATGTAAGGAACACTGTATGTCACGATATCACATACCTATATATACAGTAACCTGTTTTACATCAGTATTGGACAATAATGATGGCCAACAATGGACACTACCTGTACATGCTAAATAAATACGAAACATCCACATATTGGACAAAAAACCAATGGTCACACTTGGTTATCAAATGGAAAATACAGTAGACTGTCATTACTTTGAAAGAATATGAAAACTTACAACAAAGTAGTCATATCATATTTAAAGACATATGTTTGTTCTTCCTAATTGTGTTCTTCTAGACGTTTTGACAAGTGAAGACGGTTTAAAACATTGGTACCAATAATCACATGTTGTAATTATTGCGTGTTGTAACTTCGATATTTTTTTTAAACAAAATAAATTCATACATACAGTGTGATAAATGAATTTTATTGGTATAATCACTCCCCAGGGCTTTGGTCGTATGGCAGCACTTTCCTTGCGATAGTAACTTCTAGTTATAGAACTACTTTGTTTACGACCTTTTCGGTAAGCAGGATAAACATAAGTGTACGGGAGGAAAAAAATAGTGGGACGGACAATAGTTTGACCGATACTGAAGGAAATTTGCCAGGAAATTTGTCCGAGGGATGGGGGGAGACGAAGTTTTCACTTTAATATGAAGACTTGGAATAACGAAATATAAAAAAAGGCTTCACACGGCTTTTAAAATACAATCTGGCGGTAATGAGATTCAAAAAAAATATTTTATGTGGCCTACTGTAAGCTTTCCTTTCATCATTTGCCCGATTTTTAAGCCGAACTGCCGGGATTTTAAATAGAATCTGCCCGACAAAAAAAATATTGGGGGGGCAACCCCCAGTGGTACGCCTATGAGAATAAATTAACAGGCCGTAGTCAGCAATTTACACGAATTACACCTATTCTGCATTTTATACTTGGTCTGCTGGCAGTTGCTGCGATCTATGCAGGGACGAAACTTAAGGGGGGTGTCACCCCACCCACCCCTGGCAGGGCACATCATCTGGATTGCCAGGGCAATGAAAGATTTTAAATTTCAGATTTTGTTCCAAAAATAATGGTTTCATGCATGTGAAAGTCTATACCGCTAAGGAAAGTTGAAGTAGGCGAAGTCAAGTAAGTGCCAGAATGCATGTTATATTCATGATTAAAGTTTATAACAAGGGTTTGGTATTAATATTATATTTGTATTTATTTTTATTTATCTTTGATAACTGCTAAACGTTCGCATACTCTACCAAAGGCTAAGAATATCAGTATATTTGCAGATCGCAGATTGCAGCAAATGCCAGCAACCAAGTATAAAATGCAGAATAGGTGTAATTCGTGTAAATTGCTGACTACGGCCTGTTAATTTATTCTCAGAGGCGTACCACTGAGGGTTCCCCCCCCCCCCCTCAATATTTTTTGTCGGGCAGATTCTATTTAAAATCCTGGCAGTTCGGCTTAAAAATCGGGCAAATGATGAAAGGAAAGCTTACAGTAGGCCACATAAAATAATTTTTTTGATTCTCATTACCGCCAGACTGTATTTAAAAGCCGTGTGAAGCCTTTTTTATATTTCGTTATTCTAAGTCTTCATATTAAGTCTTGAAAATTTTGTCTCCCCCCATCCCTCGGACAAATTTCCAGGAAAATTTCCTTCAATATCGGTCAAACTATTGTCCGTCCCACTATTTTTTTCCTCCCGTACACCTATGTTTATCCTGCTTACCGAAAAGGTCGTAAACAAATCAGTTCTATAATTAGCGGTGCAAAGCTTGTACATTTCGGTCACGTGACACAAGTTGTAATTAATCTTGACTAAAGCAGGGAAGCTGCTGTACATTGTTGTATTTATGTCTCGATATTGAGTGATTTTACAATATGACGACTCATCGCTCCATAACAATTTCGAACAAATTCTGTTTCGAAAGGATATTTACATATGCGAAGTGTGAGCAACGTAACGTTTCGCAACCTCGTACCCAGGGCTAGCCGCGAATTGAAGGCGGCGGCGTAGCCCTGGTAAACGCTGGTCACGTGACTCGAACATTACGTAATTGTTACTTTTCTGATCCGGGGGGTGAATTATAGAGGTGAAACTCGACGACCAACAGTTTTTAGCTACGAAATTCTTCAATCTTCCCTGTGAATTTTGCATTTCAAGCTTTTCTCAAAGTACGGCGATCGATCAAATGGATCAATACTTTCTGTGGAAAAAACTCAGTGAGATTTGTTCGTATGCGACGTTTAAAATACTTGGATATGTCGCTCAAGACGCTCGATCATTGCACAGGTTTATGGTTTAGTACTTTGTTCAGTTTGTTGCGACTTAATTGCGAAGCAAATGAATGCAAATTCAACTCTTGTATAATGACTAAAAGTTGGTTAGTAGAGGGACAACTGATGCAAAAGATATGAATACTTCAACTTCAAACTAGGAACAAGTTCTGAAGTTCATGGACATCCCTAAATATATGGACATTGATATTTCACCAATATGTATAAAATATGACTATTAAATATATAAAAGGATTGCTGTTGTATATGTACAAGTGTTGTGCTGTGGTATTTACGTTTTAACCCTTTAAGTCCATGCACCCAGATGCGCCCTACTTTGTTAGTTTACTCTGTCTAACACCAGACACTTTTACTTGTCAGGGGGAAAGTGCATGCTGCCACTCAATGGGTTAACATAGTCGATGAACATACTAAATGATCCTTGACCGTGGTAGTGCATTTTTGCACTTGGTGGATGATATCGTAACCAGCATTGTTTCAGAGGAAGAGCCCTGAGATCATGCTGTGTAGCAATTGGAATCTCACGTCACGAAGGTCTTGCATAAAGCTGGCAAGACCTTCGCTCAGAAGCCAGGATTAATATTAATTCCCCACATAAACACTTGGAAACCGGACTGTCCCATCTGCCATATGCAGGACAAAAAAACATGCAGCCTGGACTTTAACTGTTAAACAACCAAATCAGCATGATAAACAGTGTGATGATTTTTGCTCAGCCCAAACCAAAGCCAGTTTTCTAGAATTAATTCGCAGAATCCTAAGAACTGGACCTCCAACTTGAAGAGCTAGCTATGCTTACAAAGTTAACAATAACTGTGCATGGGCAACCCTGAATTGAAGTGACCAGAGCAAATCTTCAAAGGATAATAGAGAGATCAGATTTGACTTCCACTACTGCTATTGCTATCATTAACTAACCAGACAAGTTTCATCTACCCAATCAAACACTGGATGCAACTGCCAGATCAAGTAGTGGTAGTGGAAGTCAAATTTGAATCTTTCTGTATGGATTTCAGAGAGATCAGTCATTATTTGCTGATACATTATTATAACTTGTATAATCAAAAGCTACTATATTCATTTATGATATTAAAAATTGATATAATTATCTATAAAGTGAGACTAATTTAAATATTCATAACATGAAAATGATTCATGCAGGTGATTGAATAAACCATGTAGTGTACATTCTGAATCTCTACAAATTCCTTGACATTATTTTTCCAGTGCAGTGTAAAACTATATAAATATGACACAGGTTGCAGGTATTAAGTTGCATGTCCACCAGTGTGCTGAAATACCATCCAGTGACCTGGTCTTGTTCATTGTTACTTGCATATATCTTGCTTAATTTAACTGATTCTGCCCCATTTCTTGTACCCATAAATTTCTTTTCAATAATCTAGAAAACTTCAAAATCATTCAATAAATTTATTTATTAAAAAATTTGATGAAAGGTAAGGGGTCAATAGATGAAGAAATCATTTCTTCTTGTTCATGCATATGGCCCCCATCTGTCAGGTGTTAGAGTAGAAATTTATTGAAGCCTTCAGAAAATAATTATGGCAACAAGGTTACAAGCCACAGTGCCACACTGCAGAGTTAGGCAATTTTTTAAAAGATCTCAAGTGTACAAAATGTTTATACCTTTGTATAGGGGGCAAGGGAACAAAATATATGGAGGGGCAAGGGAACAAAATAATGAAATTTTGAGATTCGGGGGCAGGTTTTTACGATGGGGTGCTGAACCTTTTCCCTAAAAAATCCCTGACCAGCTGCAGTTGTCATGGATATTAAAAATACTCATTAACTCACTGACATTAAATAATGCTGAATAAATACTGAAACTGATGTTTGACTATTAAAATATCCTAGCAGTTCAAGACCTTGAGGTTCATCAGATTTTAGCTTTGTCAACCTGGCCACTCTGTTATTAATACACAACACACCATCATCATACACAACACAGAAAAATAATGGCTTATTTAAATAATTTCAGGTCATTAAATGTAAACGTAAAAAAACAAAGTATTTGAAGATCTTTGAAGTTAATACTGCTGTGAACAACTGTAATTAATACTGTAAACACGTTTCTCGCAGCGATAAATCAATCAATTGTAAATAATAATCATGTGAGAAGTAGAACTTCACTGAGAGTCTGAGTATAATATTACAGGCCAGTGTCTGGCCATGTGTTTCTCAATATTTAAACTACAAATTCAGCCAACTATAACATACTGTATAAAATATAATAGCCTTCGAAATATACATTTACATGCGATATTCGCAAGAGTGCACGTGCACGTGTTAACTCATGGGATCTGCTAAATAATTTGTAACAATAAAATACTTCAAGACATTTTCAAATTCATACTGTACCTTTTACTTGATGTAAATCATCACAAATAGTACGTACGAGGTTGCAATTGTCTCCATAATTGTCCTTCGAAAGCCGAAACAATGAAACATCGCGTCATCGCCTCCTCGGCGATTTATATGATGCGATATAAAAGAAGATTGTTGTACGTTCGACGTAATATATAAACGTAACACATTAAAAAGAAAGATTACAACAAAAAATAAAAGAATATAAATAATCCACGGCAATTCAAGTTCTATTCGTGAACTTTTCGTCGCCCCCCTGTCTTTATTTCCATAAAGCCCGCTCGCAGGCTAATACTCCAAGAATCTTGGAGTATTTGCCTGACACGACGTGACCAGCGTTTACCAGGGCCATGTCGCTGCCTTCAACTCACGACTGGCCCTGGGTACGAGGTTGAACGTTTCGAACCAAATTTCTGAAACAACCAAGGTCGGACAGATCAAGAGGAAGAGAAGGACATGTACTATTGTGTTTAATGATGGGATCGGCTATGTGAGGAATTGGAAATTGACTTAAAAAGGAAATAAACTTGAGTTAGCAACGAGGTAAGCTGTATATTGTTGCATTTAAGTTAGAATCTGCACGAGATAGAGTGATTTTACAATATGACGACTCATCGCAAATACACGCATGTGTGTTGATACAAACGGCCATAACTTTTGAAATACTGAAATCGTACAGGTTTTTTTGCATATATTTGCCAACAAAGGACTATACTTCCTTGAAAAATAGGCCCGAGCGATTGACAAGGTCCCAAAGTTTGAAAAATAAAATCTAAATCAAGGCCATTTCCACTCTTTGATTTATAATGATAAGTAGGGTTTACATTGTGCTTAATTTTTCCTTTACAACTAATATTAGGTAAAAATTCCTCGTCTTCAAGAAAACTAGAAAGTTTCATGAGTGAAATGATATAAAATTCATTGCTAGTTGACGCGAATATAATATTTTACGGATCAATGAAAAATGCGTCATTTTCAATTTTCGAGACGTCCCAACATGCCTTGAAGGGGCAAAATATTTCGTTATTTGCAGCGCGACTGGAAAATCGTTTTCAACCAAACCTAGACTGTTTTTATTTTATGTTTGGTAAAGCCTTCCAGTTGCCAGAGTTTTAGCGAAAATCATGTTTGAAATGAAATTCGAGCGGGCGGTTTTTACAGAGACAGCCTCTTAAATGTAACTGCGCTCACAAGAGGCTTTATTTATCTTATACACTTTAGAATGATATAGTTATGAAGAATTATTTCGCTTTCCCTGTTACATTGGTAATTCGCCATACTTCTGAAATTCCCCATATGTACTTTTGAGTTTTGATATCAGTGAGGATGATGACCAGCGATTATTGATGAACTTTAGACTTCGCTAATGCTGTAATTCCTTTTCCCAGGTGTAAATATAGCCGACCGGAATTAGCTCGGAACTGGCTTACCCGGAATTGGCTCGGGGAATTAACCGGAATTGGCTCCGCGATCATATACATATAAAGTGGCCTGTTGAAACGAACCTATACCATTGTTGGTCCAACGTACACTATTCAAATAGTATCTATGACTATTCAGCAATTTTCAAGTAATGTTGCTTTTCCATGTTGAAACACGCACAGTTAGTATAGGTAGTCACACGGGAAGGAGTGCAATTATAATGATTAACACTACGAGTGATTCAGTTTGAAAAATGGGCCAAAATTGCACGACCCCTGAGGCGAGTGCAATTTGGCACATTTTTCAAAAATCACGAGTAGTATTAATCATTAATGGCACGACTTGCTCGTGTGATTATTTATTTATTATATGCATGACAAAATCGCTTTCTTTAAAATTCAACTGCATTTTGCCAAGAGTTTTTTTAAAATTATTATTATTATTATTAAATATATTTACTGATTTTGTAACCAAAGGTTAAATTACATCAGCTATACTACAAATAATTAAATATAAAGGAGTAAACTACTATTTACAATTTAATTTCGAAATAATTTGTGGTAAGAAGGATTTTCTAAAACGTTCTGTTTTACAATAATAATTATTATATTTACAATTTCCCCTCGTATCATAAACCAAAGAGGATTTATTAGGTAAAAATTCATCCAATTTGTGAAGGTTCGCATCTCTCAAAAAGAACTGTTCGCATAAAATCTCACGTCGTTCCTTCAAGGATGGAATATTAATAAGTTCTCGTGCATCGTTATAGCTAAGTTCTGTTAAAATAATTCTCAAAGCTCTTCTTTGAACCCTTTCAATATCATCACTCAAATAACCTGGAATGTTGAAGTGGCAAACTTGGCAAGCGTATTCTAAGACTGGCCTTATAATAGTGGTAAATGCGATGGATAGCATTGCTCGTGGATAACATTGCTCGTGGATAACATTGCTCCTTATAATAGTGGTAAATGCGATGGATAACATGCGATGGATAACATGGCTCGTTTCAATAACCTAAGCATATACAATCTTTTCCCAGATTTCTTAACAATTTTATTAACGTGTTCATTCCAATTCATTTTGGTTTGGATCGTAACGCCGAGAATTTGGGCAGAATTTACACGTTCAACCTCAGTGTTCTCGATTAATAATGCTGGGAAATTCCGTTTTACCCTACCAAAGTCAAGGATCATTTCTTTGCATTTAGTGACATTAAGTTTCATATTATTTGTAACAGTCCAATTATAAATATAATCGACGAGATCCTGAATATTAACTGCTACAATCAACCATCACACTTTCAGTAGCCGTACTATCATCTACATACTTCCATCGGTCGGGCCATTCATCGAGAAGATCGTTGATCATAACCAAAAAAAGAACAGGACCCAAAACAGTTCCCTGCGGTACTCCTCCGTTTAAAACAATCCAACTCGAAGACCAACTACCCAGCTTCACACATTGCCTCCGTCCAGTTAAAAAACTTTTAATCCAATTAAAAATAGTTGGGGGAACGTTCAATTCCAATAATTTATGCAACAAAATGTTGTGGTCTATCAGGTCGAAAGCCTTAGAAAAGTCAAGAAGAAACACTCTAACGGCGCACTTTGACGCATCAGTTTCCTTTAATAAGTGATTTACCAAACTAATTAAATTATGAGTCGTTGAGGAATTCTTCAAAGAGCCAAATTGCCTCTTATCAATTTTGTTCTTGATTGAACTAATCAACCAATCAGATACAAACGATTCGCAGATTTTAGACAAAGTAGGTGTCAATGAAATAGGACGCAAATCGGTTGTTATGTCTGCAGGTACCGATATTTTTGGTATTGGAATAACTTCAGCGTCTTTCCATACTGCAGGAACGTGCTGTTGCTGTATCGAAGCATTAAAAAGTGAGGCAATTGGTAAGGCTAAGATATTAAGCATAATGTTTAAGTACCCAATTTGGGATGCCGTCTGAACCCGACGATTTCGAGACACATATATCAGACAATTTATTATACACACTTTCTTCGTCAATAATAAATTGGGGATGAATGTTACTTTCATTAAACTCGAACTGACTTTCTGTAGATTCTGGCTGTAAAGGTGTAATTTCATTAGTAATTGATATGAAGAAGTCGTTAATTTTATTTGCTAAAACATTTCCAACAACAATCTCATTGTCAAGGACCATAGACGATATTGCCTTTCTCTTCGGATACCCTGCGAATTGTTTTATACAATCCCACCACTTTTGCGGGTTAGGATTAGATTTAAGCTGGTCCATTTTTTTATCAAGATAGCTGGACCTCAGTTGTTTCCTTTTTCTATTGGCTAGGTTACGCAAATAATTGTACTTTTGGATATTCCCGTCATGATATGCTTTTTGCCTATCTTAAATAATTTCTTTGAATTCGGGTGTTACCCAGGGTTTATCATTAGCATGTAGTTTGATAATTTTAATCGGAAAGAAACAATCTATAAACCAGTGTTAATAACTTTCGTGAAAATATCTAGCTTATCTTTACACGAGACAGTACGATACAAAGTCGATCAATTATAATCAGCTAACCATTTTCCAAACGCTGTCTTGTTGGCATGTATATTACGTCGAATTTTCACTTTATTGGTCTCGTTTTTTATCAGATTTCTTTTAAGTGTACATAACACAGAGCTATGGTCGCTTAGTCCAATAGGAGAGGTTACCAATGCAGGGTTGCAACAGGCAGACATATTCGTAAGAATTAGATCCAGGGCAACATTTTTCCTCGTAGGTTTTTTGACAATTTGTTTTAGTCCGAAATGTCTTAGCAACGCTGAAACAGGACATCTATTAAAGTCACCGACCAGGAAAATTCCTGCATTTGGGTACTTCATAAGGGCTAAATCGAGGCTTAAGGTAATGTGTTCGACTAGGGCATGATTATCGTTGGATGGTGGATGATAAATAACACATACTATCAGGCATGAAAAGCCTCGAGGAAGTTTATACGGTCTCAAATATAACCACAGGGTTTCAAAACATTCGTCTTGTAGTTCGGGTAATAATTTAAATGGAATAGATGATTTAATAAAGGCGCACACGCCTCCTCCTATCTTGTTAACTCTATCACGCCTGACAAGGGAGTAACCATCAATTCCGACAGCGCTGTCGTGGATGTTTTCACTCAGCCACGTTTCTGTGATAAAGGCCATGTTTATACGGCTTGCTTTCAGAATAGTTTCTAACTCATCAATCTTAGGAAGAAGTGATCTTACATTAGATAGAATAAACAAAGGTTCACCACTTTGGGGAACACTGTTAAGGGGCTCCTGATGAAACTTGGAACTATGCAGGTACGTTGTATCCTGAGTACTTATACTTTCGGATTTATCTGGGAACATTGATGTTTCAATATAGATTAGGTTATTAAAATTTGCTGAATTAATTGTTTGTCCATTTACTAATGTTTGTTGATGATTATAATAGGTTTAGGCAATTTTGGAACAAGCAAACTTGAGATATAAGCAATTTTGGCACAAGCAAACTTGAGAAATGATCAAAAACTCATAAAAGCAACATAATTTAAAGTAGAACGCATGATTCAAACTCAAACAACATTAAAAAGAAAATCTTTATAAATATTGTATTACAGACTTACAGACTTATAGTCACGTTTCGCTGCATCCCGCCGAGATTATTTCTTAAAACTACTTCTGGTGCCAAAATGTAGTTAAATACGTCCACGTTTGTAAGACAAATTTTGCCGCCATGTTGGATTTTTGTTGTTTTAATTTCCCGCTCCCCCCAGCCATCACGAAAATCATTAATTGCACTCCCGGAGAGTGCAATTAATTTAATGAAAATATTATACCTCAAATTCAAATTGTCCAATGAAAAAACACCATTTGTACCACGTGATAATGTGATTTACTTCACTCAAATTCATGATTTCGCAATGCAGCGTGATATACTATAATATCCCAAGGCAGATCCACCGTGGGATATTATAGTATCCCACGCTCACGCGTAACGCGTGGACGCGTGGACACCACGCTCTGAACCAATATGGCGTTCGCGAGCTATTGTTTGTAATTTCGTACAGAAGATTTGATATGGATTTAACCAAATATTTTCAAGACGTATGTTACCTTTAATGATCCAAAGGATACATGCCCAAATATTTTAAGAGGAAACGTCAAAAACTCAGGTATACACAAGAAATTAAAAATTGTATTCGCGTAGTTATAAATATTCAGCAAATTTTAAAGTTTATTCTGAACTTAGTGAGTTCTTTAACTTTCGGTATAATATATCATTTATAGACCCTCCGCTCGGGGGATTCGGCGATATTTCCCTCAGTGATGATATTTTTCTCGGGGCAAAGCCCCTCGGAAAATGTCATCACTTCGGGAAATATTACGCCGAATCCCCTCGCTCTGGGCATAGAATAAAGATCCACATAGAAGGGCCACTTACGTCGGAAGCTTTGAAGTTTCTGTCCTCGCGCATGTCGCATTACGCATGTTGGCCGCCATTTTCCTAGCCAGTCAATGACATTTTCTGGCCAATAACTGACACGCTGTACTGGCTGCCTACTCCGCCTTCTGGCCAGTAAACTGCATATTTTTGCATAAAAAAACGAGGACACGTTGCACCGCTGAGTGGCCCTTCTGTTACTGATCTTTATTCTGTGCTCCGGGTCTCTAAATGATAATAATTGCACTCCTCTTAACCAATCAGATTGCAGTAATTTTGTCATGTATATAATAAAAATGCTTATCATTTTATGTAGAATCATGACACTTAACGTACCTTATCAAGGGAATTGACACTGCACGAAAAATTGGATTTGCCACTATAGGAAACACAGAGTAAACTTGAGATAATGCTCAATTTGCTCATATTTACGAGCAAATGCGGCATTGTCTACAAGTTTACTCTGTGTTTCCTATAGTGGTAAATCCAATTTTTCGTGCAGTGTGAATTGGAATGCTACTGAACCATTTGCAACTGTACGTTACTACGAACCATCTGTCCATCCGCTAGCATCCGCTCGCTATCTGTCCACATGCTAGCATCTGCAGTATTTTTAGACTTGTTATTAAATCCTAACTGTAGGTAATGCTGCTTACTGAACCACATGTTACGACATGCTAATTGTTTATCCATCTGCAAGATTTGCTGCATTTGTTAGATCTGCAAAATGCTAACACTGGCTCCGGGTGCAAGTGATATTTTTTTAGAACGGAGACAATAAAATTGGTCAAAATTATCAAGCATATTTTAAATACCGAAAGAATTAACATAATTGAAGACAACTATATTCTTTGTAAAGAGATTCTATTCCCTAATGCAATCTAAATTTGATGTGATTGCCATTCTTTGTTAAAATGTTTATTAGAAAGAAGTGTCTTAATCGCCGTCGAATACAACTTGTACCTGATATATTTCTATGTTTTTAGCACATATTTGGTGTAGCACACTATTCTTGATCACCTATGCCAGCTTCCTTGACTGACTTGTAAACTAATTGTGAATTTCTAGTACTTTACAAATTATTTTATATTTTAGCGCATATTTTTGTTGCACGCCATATATGGCATGTAATTTTCATATAGCTCTAAATTTCGTGTCGTGGCAGTGAGCGTACCAAATCACGTGGCAGGTTACGACAGTACGACAGATAGCGAGTTTTTCCGACGAGCATTTGACAAAAAGGGAAAAGCCCTGGGAACGAGGTTGACTCATGCACGTTTTCGTCCATGGTTTTCGCAATCTCGTACCCAGAGCAATGCCTGTACGCGGGCTAGGATGGCATTGGCTCTGGGGAAATTGAATTTTTCCTGTGTTGTGATTGGTTTAAACGTTCATCATAGTTTTCCAGTTTAAAAGTTTATTTATTTTAAAACAGTTTTTAATAAATTATTATATTAAGTTCAGTATCTCAAATTCTTGAAAAACTTATAAAAATAATAAGACGTTATATAAACAAACTGATATGCGGTGAATATAGCCAGTATAAATAAAAAATTTCATAAATTTTAAACCATACCTTTTCTGATTCAAGCCCGACGTATTCAATCATTTCAATGTCAGAAAACTGTATTGTTGTACCATGAAATTATATGATTTCCAAACATAAATATTACGCTGGAGTCTGCAGTCTGCACTCCCCGTGTTTAAGCGGTGGGGCTTTTGAGCATGCTCACAACAACCGGAACCCCAGAATTTAGGGGTTCCGGTTTTCAATTTCCCCAGAGCCAATGCCATCCTAGCCCGCGTACAGGCATTGCTCTGGGTACGAGATTGTGGTTTTCGTCGAGGAAACCACCGATATATTGATTGTTAGCCGAAAATTTACATAATTGAGCGACTTAGAAAAATAGATCGAGGTAGGTAAAGCTTGCTGTTTTTAATTTACCTTATATTCTGTTATTTGTCGTGGTTTTGGTCATTTGGAGCCGTTGGCGTTATGCTCGCACTGATTATTTTTAATATCAGGCGTTATTATATATCGTGAAAGACCACGCTATCAAAATACTCAATTTTTATGTCTTTTATGATACTCAAATTAAAACGGAGCCATTGTGCTCGCACTGATTATATTGAGAGCAAAACTTCAAAACTACACTACATACATTACATCTATTAACCGTGATGTAATACTTTTGAAATTTAATAAAACGACACAATAGCAATCTGCTTCGATAAATATTATAGTAATTCACCGTTTCCCACTGGTTTTTGTACCTTCAGAAAGCTACAATAAAGCTAGATTTGTAGGAAATAGCATTATTTAGCAGAGAATTTGTATTAGGATTGAAATCTAACAGTCAATCGCTTTCGATAAAACCACAGATGAGTTATATATAAACTCATCTGTGATAAAACCTTGACCTTGTTATTATCGTCGCTTGCAACGAACGATGAACAGTCATAAAAATATTGCCTATTCGCGTGAGAGAATGTTAAGTTTTCTTATTTTGACATAATAGCTATTTTTCAATAAATATATTGATAGTAAACTTATTGAATCGATATTTTATGTTTCAGCCCAGTTGTACCTAAAGTTTACAGTCGATTTCACGAAATATTGACCACAAATGTTGCGAACATTGTTGCGATGTTCGCAGGTTCTTTGCGACGTTCGGAAAACCAATTTGTAAACAAAGTCCCTGATTGGTCCCTGAAGTAAAAGAAGCCAATCAAATGCGTAGTTTTCAAACTGGTTTGTGAATCTCATTATGAACTTTTGAACTTCGCAACGAAGTTCGAAACATTTGTGGTCAAAGTTATCTGAAATCGACTGTAATATAAGTGCTAGCGCATCATAAGGTTTCAAATGACATGCAACATGTACGCAGTGCGTACCTATTTTTATTAATGGTGCAGCACACAATTCTTGATCACATATGCCAGCTTCTATGACTGACTAATTGTGCATTTCCAGCATTTCTTCAACTTAAAAAGTCTAATGAATCTGTATTTCTGCCCAAGATATGATGTAGAAGACCAGATAAGCAAGACTATCACTAAAATCACCGAAATATGGTGTAGAAAATGCAGTTGAATAATGATCACAAACTTAGCTTGTGCAATGATATGGATCAGCGAATACGATAATTGTTTTTAAAATTTCATTACGCATTTCCGCTATTTGCTTCCAAATAAAACTTTGAAAATAAACAATCACACTTGACTAACATAGGTTTTCGGATTGCTTGAAAAGTATAGCTAATTGATTTTCAATTTCCCTAGAAGATATCGCTGCACTTCATGAACATGAGCGTGACAGAACAACAGAAAGCTTACCATTTGAGAAAATTGCGAACACGGTGTCACAGAATGGATATAAACCACGATGGTTACCTCTCACGCGAGGATTTTGAGCTCGTGGCCAAAAGATTGGTGGAAATGGCAAGTGGGATCACCAAGGAGAAGAGTGAAGAAATACATGCAGCATTCTTGAGTATTGCTGATTTAATTGGTTTAAAACCTGGCGTGAAAATTCCGTTGGAAGAAGCAGCCAAGATTGGCAGTGACCGCTATTTGTCCCCAACTAGCAAGAAACCGACTGCACATCATGACCTGCTGTTTAATTGCATCGATACAAACAGCGATGGACACATATCCATCGAGGAATTCAAGGTCTACTTCAAAGTTGTGGGGAACGATATGAGTGATGAAGAAATTAAGCATTCCTTTGACGCTATCGATTCGAATGGCAACGGTGAAATTAGTCGTGAAGAGTTCGTTGCAGCGGCAAAAGATTTTTATTTTGGTGTGGAAGAGACCGAGGTATCGAATGCGTTTTATGGAAAATTGCTTCCCTGTTAACTATATAACGGAATGAATCACATATTTTTGCATCAATTTTGTGGAACGTTAATTAAATACTACAATAACAACGCGATAATTAAAATCGAACTTCATTTAATATTTAGAATACAAATCTATATTTGTACTGGAAGATAATTGTTGATAATCTTTGAATAAAATTGAATATGTTTTGTACGTTAAGTTCGTGGTATATACTGTATTTTCTTTTCGAGATCGAACGCAAACACGTGCTAATTCTTTGAAAAGAACATTCAGATATTCTGCTGCTAAAGTCTGGAACCAAAGTTTTTAATAAATAGTAACTGTATCTTTTACACTTTTTGGGAGGGGTTTACTGGGGGGGGGAGGGGTATTTGTAGTTTGTGTGCATAATGAAAAGCAACCTTTCGATTTGTAAATATTTTAACACTGGTTGATTAGTCACCATGTTTAAAGATGTTTTTAATACTAATAATAAATAATAATGTAGGGGAGCTACGTATACTCACTACGATCGACTTATCGCGCTACGAACTCAAGCGCAAGCAGCCCCGCCCTCCCCTTTCAGGAGGCTTATTTCCTCACGGATATCAGGAGCAGTGGAATGACAACAGGATAGAATTTATACATTACAGGGCGCTAACTGCGGGGGTAGGGGTTCGAAACCTAGCTCAGTGTTGGTCCGCATGCACCATTAGGTCTTCCAGAAATATCTACTAAGTGATTCAAAATAAAACGTCTACAAAAGAGATAATCAAAAACAACTTCAGTGTTGGTCCACATGCACCATTAGGTCTTCCAGAAATATCTACTAAGTGATTCAAAAGAAAACGTCTACAACAGATATCATCAAAAACAACTTCAGTGTTGGTCTACATGCACCATTAGGTCTTCCAGAATTATCTAATTAGCGGCCACGCTGGCTAATTAATGACTCTCGGCAGCCAGCCGCCGAGAATTGTGATTGGCTGAATTTACATTGACGACAGTTTGATTGACATGTTACGCTAATTTATTCAACTATTTAAAAATAAATACAGTAAAAACAAACGGCATCGCTATATTAAAGTGTAAACCTGTCGGCTAAAATATAAAATTCAAAAGACAAAGTGTAAAATGTATAACATATACCGGTATCTAAACAGAATACGGCAAGCCATACTGCTATTACTGCATATGTCGTATGATTTTTACAGTATGGTCACTATAGTATATAGAGTATAAAACCTTGGCTGTCCTTGCCTTGTTTATATTTTGCTGGCTGGCAAATTACGATTATATAAAACAATACATTCCCTATTGTGTTTAATACACCATAATAATACGAAGCTCTCTTTGGAGCTTTTAAAATACATTTGCCTGCCAACGAGTATAACACGGGAAGGGGTCGATCTATTTAAACTTTTCCTAAGTCATTATATTTAATACTGCAATATTTATAACTGTAGCCAGCCATACAGGTGCAAAGCAGAATATAATTTTGAACGGTCTTCGTCTACTACTGGGCCTACTAAGGGCCTTCGCTCGAAATGCCGACGTTTTGCTTGTATTTCCAGGCAGTTGAATCGCTATCCATCTATTGTAAAAAGTTTATTGAAAGCATGTAGCGCAGGCTATAGTAAATATGCAACAATTAAAATTTTAAGTCATCAATTTATACAAAACTATTTCGAGTGGGCGGTGTTAATATGGAATATTAACTAAGTGGGCGGCATCAATTTGACTAGGGCTCTCGGGCAGGCTCTACTTATAAAAGAGCCACGCTAGCTACCTGATACTCGGACCAAAAAAATATATTTATTGATGAGATGTGGAATTGGAACGAAATAGCGAGATCTTTTGATTTCCGACATATCGCCAAGACGCCAACTGTATCGAGATTGTTGATTATAAAGGCCTTATCACAAAACTTAAATCCCGTCAAAAGACTATAAAATTTCCTGCAAAATCTCAACGATCATGGTATATGTCAAATGTATAGAGTTAGGTCGGGGACAAAATTAAGTTTACGTGTTGGCATGGCGGATTCGGATGTTGTGGCGTCGTGATGTATCTTCGTGTCGTGTATTTTTGCTGGAAGTTTTTACTTTGTCATGTTGTTTTCCAAATTTGAAAGGCGTTTTAATTCTTAGCCCGATGCAGTGATGCCCATTTCAATTCTTCGTTTCGCAAATCGGAAGTTTGCGTGGCGCATCAAGTCTTCGTGTGGCGCATTAAGTCTTCGTGCGGCGTTTCAAGTCTTCGTGTGGCGCATCAAGTCTTCGTGTGGCGCATCAAGTCTTCGTGTGGCGTTTCACGTTTTCGCGTAGTGGTTTTGTTCGTTGCGTCAACATCGGTTCCAATGGACAGCGGACAATTTTAGTTTTAGCGGTAAGTACTTCATCTAATCATCTTCTGCATTTTCCCGCTCTTTTCCGAAAACTTCTCTTCGGCAATGGCTGACCCTGCAGTGAAACACGTAGTTGCGGTTCTAAAAACAGTATTAGATGAAATCCAATCCAATTTAACCGATGAAAGTCAAAAACCTAGCTCAAGTGCAAACGTTCCATCAATACCATCCACATCCACTGGCATCCGACATCGATCAATACCATCCACATCCACTGGCATCCGACATCGATCAATACCATCCACATCCACTGGCATCCGACATCGATCAATACCATCCACATCCGCTGGTGCCGGCTTCGCTGAAGCAGCCCGAAGAGATTTCAGGTATTGTGTATTTGGAAAATGTTTAAAAATGTATTTTGTAACCCACTTCTGGCCACCGTACGAACTGTTCCACTCGAAGTTAATAACCTGTGTACAAACTGTGTTTATTTAATGTAAATTATTACAGCATAATAATACAGTCTGTAGAGGGCCCCCTATTCTTTTTGCGTGAAGCGTGAAGGGCTTATTTTACTTAGCCGTGAAACGTGATCGGGCCCCCTATACTTTTTGCGTGAAGCGTGAAGGGCTTATTTTACTTAGCCGTGAAACGTGATCGATGATTTTCTTAATCCGTGACTCGTGAAAAGGCAAAATATTTTTACGTGAAAGCATATTATGAAGAGGTATAGGGGGGCCTCTCTGTAGGGCCGTGCCACCCCAAAAAAGGGGCCCAACTTGCGGGGAGGGGGCCCCGGCATGCTGGAATTGCAAAATTTTTAAAAAATGAAGGATTTGTTTGCTAAATTTTGGAAATTTCAGGAAAATGTATTGCGAAAGATTTTGGGAACGTTTGTTTTCGAAAACATAACATCGACCTCCCACCCCCCGTCGCCAACTTTCTGTGGAAAAATTTTTGCTTTCCTGGAAAAATTGGGGGGGGGCCTGGAATGGAAGGGGACCCAAATTTTGGAATACTCCCCCCCCCCAACCAGAAACCGGTTGGCACGGCCCTGCCAGTCTGTATACAGGCAGGCTAACTGCCTATCACCACTTGAAGTCGATACAATGTTTTTTTAAAGTATAACTTTTGCATTTTAACCATGTTTAAAACATGTCAAATGAATATCAATATCTGTAGTGTGGTGTATATTTGACTTTTCACAAATGAGAAATTTCACAAATGGCAATTCAATTGTATACAATTTAATGTATGTTGAAATGTCATTACAGTAAACTGCTAATGTGCTAAGTTGAATCAGGGATGGATTTACTGGGGGGGTACACCTCCCTAGCCCTGGCCAGAGGGGGTGTAGGGGGGGGTGCTATTTTTTATGATAAAGCAAAAAATTATTAGAGACAAAATGAGATACAGTAATTTGAGTAATGACATGATGATAAGCGAACTGTGAACAGCAATTACAATTCAAATACTGTAATCAAGCAAGACTTTGCAGTAGTGAAGCAAGTTGATGGGCGGGCAGCACACATGACCGACACAACTCGGCACCAGAGCTGGGACAGCACCCCCCCCCCCCTACCAGATCATGCTGGATCCATCCCATCAATGATGCTTTTTTTAATTATGTGTGGTATATATTTGAATTTATACCACGTTGCATATAAAATCATTTAAAATGTTGTGAGCCAAGGGTAAGGGGGGAGGGGGGGGGGGGCTGTTGATTACTGATTAGTTATAAAAATTGTTCAGCCTAGCAAGAAATGTACCCCCTAAAACAGGATATTTTAAAAATTGGCCCAGGATTGCTGATTAATGACATTTATTTTTGCAAATAATATTAAATGAAATATTTAATTTGTGGAAACACCACATAAATTTATTATTGCAAAGCTTTCAATCTGTAAGCTGGTCGTATGTGCAACTGATTTTTAATTAAATTGTAATTTTGCACTTGGGTTTGGAGTATAAAATGAAATTGAAAAAGGATTTAATATTCCAATAGTGTGTTACATTGACCTTTTTTAGGGAAAAATTCCCATTATTCATGGGTGAGCAGAAGATATTGATAGACATATCCAGGGTCTTTTGGTCTAGAGGGGTCCGGGGGCATGCTTCTCTAAAAATATTTAATTTCTAGGTTATCTGAAATACTATTTTCATGCTTTGGCACATTCTAACAGTTTTTCCAGAAAATCTACCCCCTCCCCCTACCCTCCCAAGTCAAGTTTCTCCCGGGATTGAGAGTCATTAGGGAACAGTATTTAGGACCATTGCTAGGGGGTATACCTGTCACAATTTTTAGGACCAAGTACTCTTTTTACACATTTGTAATTTTGTATTTTTTGTATTTTGACCCTGATCCCAACCCTAAACATAACCGTAGTCCTAGCCCTAACCCTTACTGCAATCCTAACACTTACTGCAATCCTAACCCTTACTGCAATCCTGACCCTTACTGCAATCCTAACCCTTACTGCAATCCTAACCCTTATTCAAAACCTTAGACTCCAAACTCTAATCCTAAAATTCTAAAAATAGTAACTGTTTCTAAATTGTGACTCCTGTGCAGTCTTGCACTACAATGGGTTAATTGGTTTATATCTATATTTTCAGCCTATCATTCCCCAGTCTTGGAGGTGGTGGGAAAAGAATGCCATTAAGCCAACCAAAACGTGAAGTTAAAAGAGCCAAAGCTGTTGTATTTCAACCAAGAAAGACTTGGACTCATGACTTCTGTCTCTTGTCTAACCCCAGTTGCAATGTTACTCCTTCAATAAGTCAATTGACAAAATTGAAAGATGCAGGTTTAGGGAGGAAAAGGATCACTTTTCCTGACAAAAAGGCATCTTTTATGAAATTTAAGTCCAGCCTCGAGGAAGAATATCCTAAGTTGAAAGATCAGGACGGAGCATTTGAGATAATGCGAGCCCAGGGGGGTGGTAACTCAAGGCCACTCCATCTCATTAAAATCCCATCTGAAGGATACAACATACCATATTTAAGAGAAGTGATTGGTACAACCACATTGCTATATATTAGACCAATCAAGTGTGTGATATCCACAGAAAAGTCGGATGTGGAAGCAACATCAACCTCGCCGACAACTGAATGCAGTGGTTGCCAAGAGCGGATGCCAATCTCAAGCTTGCGCCAGCATAAGTTTGAATGTAAATCAATGATCTGCAACTCTGATGACAGTGACGATGAAATTAATATGCATAAAGAGGACACCAAATCCAGTACTGCATCAAAATTTCATGAGGAGAAGAAAAACTCACAACATGATGAAGTTATCTCAATTCTCGATGATGGTGAAGGCACTTCTAAGCAAACATGGTCTAGTCAGCTTAAGCACGTATTCCCTGATTCAGAAATGGAAGAGCTGGAAGAAGTATCCTTACAATCTGCATCATTAGATGAAGCTGCTGAGCTTATGTTAAACAAGCTTGGAAATGATGAAGATGAAGCTACGTCAATAGAAGATCTTGTTGAAACGTTTGCCAAGAGAAATTCATTGGAAAGTGGTGAAGACGAATTTGTAATTGTTGACCGAGAGTCGTTTTGGATTGATGTCATAAGGTTTTATAAAAAAGCAATTGGAAAACCAGAACTTTTAAAAAGAGAGTTGTCTGTGTCATTCAAGAACGAAGATGGTTTGGACGGTGGTGCAATGAAAATTGAGTTTTTTTCGCTTGCTTTACAAGAAGTAAAAAACAGATTATTTGAAGGAAACGAGGCTAACTTGATTCCAATTAAAGATGCAACAAAGTGTTTGCTTTTTCAACTTGCAGGAATGATTATTAGTCATTCACTTTCACAACAAGCGTCTATTGGTTTCCCTGTTCTTGCACCCTATGTCTATGTATACATGGTCGGTGCAGGTGAAGATGAGGTCGCTACACTTATGAATAAAAGCTTTATTCCTTTGGATGCTTCCACATCTGTTTTGCACGATTTTCTCACTTCCCTTGCAGGTTGTGAAAATGATGCTGATGTAGAATCTCTTCTTGAGAAAAATAAAATGAGTGAAGCGTTTTGGCAACTAATAAATTCCTCTCGGTGGCCAAAGGAGCAGGTGATCGATATCGAGACAAGAGATTTCCTCCTGCAGCACTTGGTGTATCATGAATTGTTGACATCACAAAAGAATGAAATTGAAGAGTTGAAAGAAGGATTGAAATCATTGGGTTTACTCGATCTTATCGCCAAAAATGCCGAAATTTTCTTATTCTGTGCAGATAAGAGTCGACAAATAAATGCTGATGTCTTGAACGATATGATGCTGTCGATCTCACCGTCTAATTTTGCAGAGGAACAGTCCCAGAAATGGTTCCTCGAGTACCTTGGTCTTAAAGCAGATCCAGATTTTCCAGGAGATAGCCGTTGTCGATCATTACTACAGTTTTGGACAGGCTGGTCGGTGGTTCCCTTCAGTGGTCTGACAAAAAGGCTGAAGGTAATATTTCTTCCTGATGATGACAAGTGTTGTCTCCCAACAACCTCCGCTTGCACAAAAACACTGAGATTACCAACAGTCCATAGTTCTCGGGGGAAATTTTTTCAATCTATGGATGTTGCATTGAAGTACGGAAAAGTGGGCTTCCCAAATCCGTAATAACTAACTTGCTATTGTTACAGCAAATAAATCAATAATCAAAGTTTCAAGTTGAATATTGCCTATATCCAACTTAAATGTTTAAGGCTTAAATTTTCTTCGTAACTGAGAATCCTTGTTCTTTGCAAGGTATTGATATTGTAATATGCATGCTATTCTTACGGACTGTTTGGTTGTTATTTTGTTGGTTGTTGATATATTGAGGTTATACTCTTATCAAAAAACCCTTTCCCTTCAATGCATATTGCCATGCTATTTTATAACCCAGTAGAGTTACGAAACCTACTTGTATTTATCTTAATTAATCTGCTGGGTAAAAAATCCCTAATAAGAATAACATTTACAGTATCTGATGTCGGTTCCCTGTGGTAAAACCACTTTTGTTGTTTGCAGTAACCAGTGAGCAGCCTCCCCTGATTTAAATTATTTTAATAAATATATGGTATTGAACAGGAAGGGTCAAGGGTTTATTAAGGGTTTTCAATATAATAAACTTTACGATTAATTTTACAGACAACTATATTCTATAGTATGTTTAGAACATTAATACAGTAGCTCCTAGAAGTAGAACTATCATTTCCAAGTTTTACTTAATTAATTTAAAAGTTGATGTTGGTTACTGTCTGGCCAATTAATATTCAGCCATTGATCTATCTATTCTGCTTAGAAGTCATGTCTCATCAGTATTTTATTGGGCAGAAGTTAGCACTTGCTGTGGTGGGTGGGTCGGTATTTAACTACCTGAAAGAGTAAGCAGAAACTCGACGTTTCGAGCGTTGGCCCTTCGTCAATAGTTGGCTACGAACTCTTGACGACAGGCCTTCACTCGCAACGTTGAGTTTCTGCTTATTTTTTGGACCAAGAACTTGTTCCCAATTACTGCTAATCATGTTGTTGGTGTTGTTTTTGTTGACATTCTTCGAAAAAGCCTAAAGATTTAATTCCACTGTCGCGTTTTTCTTACGTGCGTATACGCACGTAAAAGTTCAAATCTATTTAAAAGTTGTTTATATTATGAAGTAATTAAGTGAATAAAATGACAGCATTTAGTTTATAAAATTTAAAAAGATTTAAACTTTTACGTGCGTATACGTACGTAAGAAAAACGCGACAGTGGAATTCCAGCCTAATTAAGCTCTTTCATTTTTAAAAACGTATTTTAAAATGCCTTGCCGAACAAATATTAAGGGTTTAAATTAGTTTAAAGGTTTAAATTAGTAAATTAGCAAAACTTTAAGTTATAAAACAATGGATCAACATGGTGGTCAACAAAGTGATGATTTACATGTCATACCAACTCAGCCAGTTCCTGGTACCAGACTCAGTAGTACCTCATGCAATCATACTTGTTTAGGTAGTAAATACCCACTCACCACAGCAAGTTTACATTGGTACGACCTACACTTGCACAGACGGTTCATAGTTATTTAATAGCTGTTCTCAAAACGTGCTATTCCCTAATACAAGAGAGTGTTTACATGAGCCTTAGCTACAGGGTGGGGTGTCTACCTGAGAGGAGGGTTAGCTTTCCTAGATAAGATTTTACCCTGTGGAGTTGAAACGTTTGCATCTAAAGACAATGGAGAACAATCATAAAAAGTATTGTTGCAATTTTAGCTTACATTTAGGGCTAGATCGGTTCCATCTACACAAGGGTAAACATCAGCCCTAAAAAAGGACCTGTCCTTCCTGTAGGGCTTTTATAGACACTCCCTAATTTGGTCTAGTATAATTCAGTAGGTACCAAACTTGGTATAATATTGCTACTCTATCCCCAACATATTCTCAACAAGCTGAACTGTTCTTCAATAAATGTCTATTCCATATGAAGATGATGCACCTAAAGGGTTTACCATTGTTCTAAGTTGATGAACCTGGGTATCATTGACAGGACATGCAATTTCAGGAACTTCTACAGAATTTTCATTCCATGTTTCACCATTAAATCTTTGAGACGGTAGTGGCCCTTCATAATCAATACCATATGCATCAATGTTACTTTCTGCACTGTTGCTTAGTGTTCCTGTAGCTTCATCTAAATTATTCAAACCTGAAACCCACAATTGCACAGGTGTCATATTGGTCTCTGTTCTTAGGGGGTGGTTGTCATATCCCCCTTGGAATAGGTTGAGATGCCTGTTTATCCGAGGGATAAATACATAATGGAGGCAAAATAGATGAGTTTCATTACTGATATCAAGGTAATTATTCTCTTCCAAGTACCAAAACACGTAATAGAAAATGAAAGTACAACCATGGAACAAGTCCCTCCAAAAGCGCTCAATTCGTTGATTGTGGCAACTTTTACCAGCAATAAAACTTCCCCTTCCAGGTCCTCGAGATGGGTTGGAAAACATAAACCATGCAACGTCTACATTTCCCACACTTTGGTCTCCTCTCACCCTTTGGGGAAGACCAAATTTTTCTGTAGCCTCTATAAAAAGAGTGAATACAGTATTTGCTTTGTTGTTGGTGCTTGCTCTAAGGAACATGACTCGCCGAGAATAGCCGTCAACGCAACCATGGATAACAAACCCCCATCTTATTAGTTTATGGTTACCATCGAGGTGCCATAAAGACAGGGGTCCTGCTACAGAATAATGCCTTTGTTGCACTAAATTTAGTTGCATGGTTCTCAATAATATTCCTTCGGGATCAACCCGCCATAAAGATGCTCGTACTCTCGCCCATTGGATGCGCATCCCTTTGGCATTGTATACCACAATTCGGAAATTCAAGGTAGATCTCGGACACAATAGCATCAAGGTTTTCATTTGATATTTCAGTATGTCGAGGAACTTATTCTTACAACCCAAATTGTCTTATTCTTCTGCTAACTGTTTTCCGACTGACACCCAACATTTCTGATATTTTAATTGATGAAAATCCAAAGTTAAGGTACATCTTTAATGTCTCTCTTGGTATATCAATTGACGGGCGACCAGGAGATGCTGTATAGACAACTGAAGGTCGGTGCGTTACATCCATAGGCTGAGATTCTTCTTCCGAAAGTATATTATAGGCAACAATAAGATCATTTAGAAATTGATCAGGAAATATTCGCTGCCACAAGCCTTGCGTGTCACTACGGACCCCAATATGAACAACTTGTTCCAATTTGTAAACAGCATAATCTTATTCTTTCCGATCATGACTTAGACCTTCAAGTATTCGAATTATCTCGTTCACATTACTACAAACATATTGCTTTAGATTCAGTTCAGGAGAAACCAAAGAGCTTACAACGTCCGACATTTTGATTTTGTTATTATATTTACAGTAAGCGAAGTAAAACGAAGTATTGCATACTCCATAATACTTCCGCTGTCCATTGGAACCGATGTTGACGCAACGAACAAAACCACTACGCGAAAACTTGAAACGCCACCACAGGGGGCCCAGGTTCGATTTGCCCGCGCCCGCCTGTGCCTTCCTTATAACGAGGGAAGGACGGAGACATTAGGGCCATTTATACGGGACAAAATAAGACGCGACTTACATAAGACGCGACTTAAATAAGACGCGAGTTTGTCGTATAAAAGGTTCAAAATTCTTATGTAAGACGCGTCTTGGATAAGACGCGTCTTACATAAGAACAGGACATTTAGCTGTTCTTATTTAAGTCGCGTCTTAAATAAGAAATTTTTGACAAAAATTCTAACTACACATGCCCGAAACTTGAAACAACGTAAAATTATTAGCCTTGCATATTAAAACAAAAACAACCGAAACAACATTATAGCTATAGAAAGTACAAATAAGAATAAATTCGTAGAGAACCATTTATGCGATAACTCCGCTTATATAAGACGCGTCTTATGTAAAACGCGACTTATTTTGTCCCGTATAAATGGCCCTATTGAGACCAAAATAGCCCAGACTTGGCATATGTCACACGAAACTATCCTTGATTTTTCGCTTTTAATGCATTTCTTTCACGATTAATCCCCTGCATGAATGATACCGTATAACTCTCAAAACAACGATGCTTTAATCAAAGAGCTTAAATTCGCTCTGAAATTCGTGAGGGAATAACAAAATTCGGCCAAAATATATCCGCGTGCCGGGTTTGCTGTGCAAAAAGCGGAAGTCGTTGAACAACTCAAAATACACTCAACCCTGATTGGACAACGAATATTAACAAACATTTCAAATTTTTTTAACAGTACTGTAATAATTTCAATCATACAATCAAAACTATTCACAAACGTTATAAAGTGTAAATATTACTGCATGTAAATATAACTGTAGTACGTACGTTAATATGTATAATAAATTGTATTTCACATTGTGTTTGTTAAAAAAAATTGAAATGTTTGTTGATATTCGTTGTCCAATCAGGGTTGAGTGTATTTTGAGTTGTTCAACGACTTCCGCTTTTTGCACAGCAAACCCGGCACGCGGATATATTTTGGCCGAATTTTGTTATTCCCTCACGAATTTCAGAGCGAATTTAAGCTCTTTGATTAAAGCATCGTTGTTTTGAGAGTTATACGGTATCATTCTCGCAGGGGATATCGATTAATCGTGAAAGAAATGCATTAAAAGCGAAAAATCGAGGATAGTTTCGTGTGACATATGCCAAGTCTGGGCTATTTTGGTCTCAATGTCTCCGTCCTTCCCTCGTTATAAGGAAGGCACAGGCGGGCGCGGGCAAATCGAGCCTGGGCCTCCTGTGACGCCACGCGAAGACTTGATGCGCCACGCGAAGACTTGAAACGCCACACGAAGACTTGATGCGCCACACGAAGAATTGGTGCTCCACGCAAACTTCCTATTTGCGAAACGAAGACTTGAAATGGGGATCACTACATCGGGCTAAGAATTAAAACGCCTTTCAAATTTGGAAAACAACATGACAAAGTAAAAACTTCCAGCAAAAAATACACGACACGAAGATATATCACGACGCCACAACATCCGAATCCGCCATGCCAACACGTAAACTTAATTTTGTCCCCGACCTAACTCCATATGATTTGCACGTGCATCGGGCCGGGCTACGGGTACTTCTTATTCGCCAATTTTAGCGTGTGGCAGGCGCGTGCGAGTAAAAACCCGATATTTTTAAAAACTCAAAATAAACATTCGTCTGGCTGTATTCAACTGAAATTCTGGATATAAAAGCGCTTGAATACAACAAATATTTCACTCATATTGATTTGTGGCGAACTCTGAAGAATTCACAAGTTATTCACGCTAGAGTCAATTTATGAAAAATATGGCCTAACCCCAAAAAAATTGCAAGCAAACGTTTTATTGTGTTTTCCTGTAGTATTGGGTCTTGTGAACAACATATCAAAAGTTTAGGAAAATTTAGGTCACAGAAAGGGTAAAAATGTGACGTCATAAACAAGATGGCCGCCAAATCATAATATCGGCTATATCTCGCTTCATATTTTCATATTTAACATAGGGTGACAATATTGGTGTCTAGCTATAGGTTTTAGGGTTCAAGGAATCAATTAAGTCTATTCATGAGGTTGTAGGGGAATTGCATCATGGAAAATCCAAGATGGCCACCACAACAGCCCCAAATTATGTTATTGGCCATAACTCAGTTGATATTAAACATAGGATAATATGTATCGGAACAAGATATTATGTATCGGAACAACTGAAGAACGTACAGGTAAGTTTAATTACTATTGGAAAGATAATTTAATCCATTTCAGGCACTTGATAAGGAAGCCATGTGGATTTCTTAGAAATGTGTTTTAACTATGTGTCGCGTTTCCAAATTCGTTGCTGTACCAACTTTCCAAATTTGTTGCTGTACCAAATTCACATTTATAACCACTCTGATGTGTGAGACTACTCCATTTTAAAGTTTTATTAACAACAAAACACACGTATACAAAGCGGTAAAAACTAAGAATAATACAAAGAAAAATCCGTAAATAAAGGCTTTAACTATGACCATACTATAGGAATTAATAGTAGAATACATCGGTTTCACTTACTTCTGATTTTCGACCTAAAAAATATTTAAAAACGGTCTATTTACTTAAAAGCTTCAATTCTCAACGAAAGCGATCACGCGAACCGTTTGTCAGCGGTATCAAGTTCTATCTGATAACAGTACGTAATGTAAACATCATTAAACGTCTCACTATGG